GCTTGTGATTTTTTTCATGTGTCTCCAAAGCAAAATTCTGACCAATCCTAATAACTTCACACAGATCAAATGTTCAGTATCAGGTACTCTAGTGGCAGTTCATAATTGCATCATACAAGAAATTTTTGCAAGAATAAATTATGTTAGTAAAGATGATAGAGACCTGCTTGTGGACACACAGCAAAGAAGGGAAATCCTATGTGCAAACTGTTAGGTTTATTCTAGAGTAAGTATTTATATACTCGCTTTATATTTATATGTATGGAAGAGAGCAACATCTTCATTATTTCAAAAGATTATATGGCACTTAATTTAAGTAATCATATCCTCCCCTCCCCCTCAGTTCTTCAATTCTTTGCTGTAACAGCTCAAGCAACTAATGCAATGTATCTTTCAGAGACATAAACTTCTAAAACATATCCTACTTTTAATTAACACTAAATATATATATTATATTGTGGTTACAGTACTCTTTCTTATTTTCACTCTTCAGTACTTAATTTTAAAATAGTTGAAAACTGGATAACTTTCTGCTTGTATAGAAAGATAACACACCTAGAAGGTAGTAAATCAGAAAAGAAAGAAAAAAAAGAAAGAAAAAAAAGGAAAAAAAATACACCCCCTTACAATCTCAGGATGCAATGTTTGAAGTGCATTTAACTTGAGTTACTTCAGAATTTGAATGACAGACTTTTAGAGTTATGTCATTGACAAAAGTYGTAGGCGTTGCAAACAATTAGGCTGGCACAGGAAATTCTTCAAATGAGAATTAACATATTAATCAGTTGTACAAGTTATTTATTGTTTATTAAAACACCTTGTGATCAGCTATAAGACTTTTATGATTCACTATATGAACTTTACTAGAAAGGGTGATGAAAAGTCAGCAGAACTTTGCTCTTTTAAATTATATGCTTACTCAAAAGTAATTACAAAGGGTATTTCAGCTAGTGTGGGTATGTAGAATATGCTAAATTTCTAACCCTACAAATTTTACCACCATTCCTCTGGAATTGCAGATGCAGATTCCCCTCCCTCAGAGAAAAAGCAGAGAGAGACTAGTTCCTAGGAATAATRTAACCACATCTAACTACATGGCATGCTGATTAATGTTATAATCTCATTCCCTAAATTGTTGTTATTTCATAATGTAATACACTGCATAAATTTGGAGGCTCTGACAATGACACATAAGTCTTGTTYCAAGACACACATTATTTTCAGGAAGTGTTCAAAAGGTCAAAACTTCTTCCCAAATCCTCCCAATTAGCGATTTTTTTGTGTGTGAGCAGAAATAATAATTCTGCAGGGTGGGGAACTTGTTAATTTACTTCACAATGATTAAATTCTGTCATCAAAAAAATAAAAAATCCACCTCCAAATTCCTTTTACTATAAAGGGCTTTAATCTAAATTCTTCGTTTTCTCCCTTTATAATTATTCTCCTTACTAACTTGCTTTAAACATGAATAATAMAATAATGTAAAAACATCCCCTCTGGTCAGAAATTTACCTTGTTTCCAGCATAGACAGCTACGCAGAGCAATTATAATACCAAGGTAATTATATATAGAATCATGTGAACTCTGACAATGCACTGAATGGTATTCCCCTCTAGGTTACTKATTAAGCAAATCAAAGAAATTCTTAGAACAAAAAGTTTCTTTTGGTACCTGCAACCTCCTTCCTCTGTGCAAGAATATTCTCTTTTAAAAACCCATAAATGCCAAAGTATTTTGTAAAAATAGTATGGGTAAGCTCCATAGCACACTGCAAACCTAGCAGAAGAGAGAGGAGCGAAAAAAAAAAACCACCAAACCCTCATGTAGTCCAAAGTTGTATTTTTCTTCCTCACATGCACAGTCCTAAGTATTTTCCAGTGAAAAAGGTCTGGATAGCTGCCAAGATAAAATACAGCTTTGGAATCTCCAAAAAGAAACTTATTATGTCCAGTTTTCAAAATGTTGTCCTTSATTCTAAGCTCCATTGGGTCTTTGTTAAAGGTCCTGGCTAAAGGAGACTGGTCACTCTTCAGAAAAGAAAGTCAATAGCATTACTGAGAAAAAGTTTCACAACATACTAAAGAAAAAGCAAAGTTTGTCATTTCAATATATCAAGTTTTTCTTGCAAATAACATCCATTGGAAAAGTGCTGCTTATTAGAGAGGGAGAAGGGAAGGGGAAGGGGAAGGGGAGCAGAGGGGAAGGGAAGGGAAGGGAAGGGAAGGGGAGGAGAAGGGGAGGAGAAGGGAAGGGAGAAGGGGAAGGGGAAGGGGAGCCTCAGCATGGGCTGAGATTGTTTGCTGTGTGGACTGATGATGGGGGTTGCAGCTAATCTGCATTGACCTTTCAAGGACCAGGAAGGATACACACACACACACACACACACACACACACACACACACACACACACACACACACACACTAGAGCAGAGCTTGATGGTGAACTATTTCTTCAGTGGATTTTTATTTCCTTCTGTGCGAGATGTCTATTTAAAGTGCCTTAACCACATCATGAACAAGTACACATCTTCTCCATCACAAATGCCCCAAAGTAGCCCCAGGATTCNGGAAGGGAAGGGAAGGGAAGGGAAGGGAAGGGAAGGGAAGGGAAGGGAAGGGAAGGGAAGGGAAGGGAAGGGAAGGGAAAGGGTTTTTAAAACACATCAATTGATTTTATGCAATATGGAGACCTATTTACTATAACAATGACAGTGAGTGAGCAAATAACAGTAGTTTTTACCAAGATTTAGTATGTCGAAAATAAAATTTGGGGATTCGGCTCAACTRCAAGATAATAAAATAGTGTAACTGACAAACTGAGAAGGAATTGGAGAGACTTCTGCACATAGAAAAGCACCTCCTGGCACATGGTAGGGCCACTGAAGAATGCATATAAAGCAGTAATATGGAGATGGAGGAAAATCAGCATGTATACTCGCCTAGCTCACAATGCTATTTAAAACACAGGCCATGGAAACATGTTCCTATGCTGCACTCAGACATTTGACTTCAATAGTACTGAAGGGCCTTTATCCGGGGAACATTTTGCTCATCACCATTCAAGTAAAAGTAGCTTTTATGAACATAATTGTCTATACAGGTGACTTCTTGTACAAAATTTGAGCTTAATAAATTGGCAAGACTTTTTTTTCTCCTTTGATGATGGATGAGACATGCTAAACCACTTCTACATTTAATCTATCAGCCTTTGTTTAAACTTTATGAAGATATATTATATTATACATGCACACCTCAGTACAAAATTAAGTTAGAGGAATACTCCAAGATATTTCAAAATTTTACACTTAGTTAGTCTTTTTGAGAAAATATAGGCTTTATAAAGTCTGAGTATGTAAAACACATTTTTCAGCAACTGTCATTTTAACAGACTACAGGTCAGACCAATTGGCTGAAAAACACATGGATTCTTATGGAAGCTATGTGAAAAAAATTGGATTGTAATTCTGACTTCAAATYCAATAATTGGGATACAAAACATTTAAAAACTAAAAGATAAAAGAAAATAGTATTAATCTATTATTGACTCATAATAAATTACTACATCAATTGCCCATAAATCAGATATCAAATGTGTGATTTATGCATTTCCCATCCATGCTGACAAGCAGTTTGTCTTCCTAAGGTTTCTTTTACTACCTTGTTAAAATCAACAATTGTCTGAGCAGTCCTCATGTACAGGTAAGTTAAAACTTCCTAGTATCTTTTAAATACTTACATATGCAGCCACTACCCATTAGTGTACAGTTGTCTATTTCTATTCATGTAAATAAAATTACCTTGCTTGCTCAATTAGACCTTGAAGCATTGCCTTTAGTTCAATTTCCCATCGAGCAAAGAGTACCTGAGGAGTGGGATGGGCAGAGACCTGGAAAATACAACATTAAAGTTTTGTAGATAAACAAGAAGTCTGTAAGTGTTTGACATTAAAGGTACGGCCACTGKAGAATTGCTTACAGAACACTGAATAAATATAAGGCATGTTTGGGTTTGCTCTCTTGTGTCCTAATTTTCTTTTCTCTCACCCTCTAAACTATTCCCAAGTAGTTCCTTGAAGCAAATCATCATTATTAACATGTTTCTCTCTCTCTCAAATGGCTGCATTCCAATATTTACTTGGTCACTCTCCAGTAATATACAACATATTTTGGTCCTAAAGGCTTTGATTTGAAGACTGTAACTCAGTTTCAGAAAACAGCACCACACACACACACACAAGTTTCCAAGGATCTCCCAAGACTCATTTTGAAATAGAGTGGGAGAACTATGGTTTGTTCAAGGCAGCCTGGAAGTTAAGAATCAAGTTCGTTATATCATAGTCTATTTCAGCTTCAATCAAACTTGAATCTGTGGATATTCTTGGCTCAGGAATAGTAATACATAGTGGAATTATTGCTCAAGATCTTTTCTCATGAGGAGGGAAGCAATCATAATTGTAACTCATATTGCTAGGGTCTTTTTAAAATTTCAGTAGGAATCTGAATCTAATTAGGGGCCCAACATTGATATTCTCCGATGTTAACATACACACACATTACTCTGACATTGTTAAAAAGAAAAATGAAAATGTTAAAATGAGTGATGCAAGAACCTCAAAAGCCTTGGGGTTTGGAAAGGCTTCAAAAAACAGCAGAGACATACACAGTTAAAGAAAGAAACAAAGAGAATCCCACAACATCCTATGATCTTCCCTCCTATCCCAGATGCTTACCACCAGTGAGCTTCTTATCTGTACCATCTTCTCCATGGGGATGGTCCAAAGCTGTTCCTTTGTAGAAAGAAAAGAAGCTCCAGCATAGAAGCTTTCTGCACCTCTTTTGCCTRCCTGACTTCTCTTCCTTCCAACTATCACTCCTCAGTGTGTAGCAGTCTCTGTGCTGCCTTGCTTGTGAATTTGAGGATAAGAGACTTTGCTTCTTAATAACCTTTAACCTTTTCACTGCATCTTTAAGTGGTATGTTGTACAGCATCTTCTATCCCCATTAACATGTCTCTTCCTTTTCTGGCTTGGTGCTTCAGTATTTACTTTGTCAGTCTCCATTAATGTATCCTTCTATTTTGCTGAGCAAGCAGATGATCACTATCAAGTGTCAAGTTCTCCTTCAGATCAGGGCTGAGAGATACAAAACACAAATAGTTAAGGCACCGATATAAGTTGAATTTTGTTTTAAAACTTGTTAGACTGACAGCAACAGCAAAATCTCCCTCCACCCCTTTAGGTATGCCTTCTGCTAAGGCAGAGCAAAAAATAAAAGCAGAAACTTGGATATTTTGGAGCAGATGTACCTTCTGGCCCCACAACTTGGCTTATATAAATGCAAAGCATTTTCATTTGTTTTATCGCAAATCTCCTTAGAAAATGAAACGAAAGTGAGAGGAACACTTGACTGTTAAAAGCCTGTCGGAGTCCTCATTTTTGCCAAAATGGGAGTACCTATAGTATGGCACGTTCTTTCAGCCATCTTTGTTTAGGTCTACAAACACACAAAAGCCTCTATACTTTACACACTCATCTGCAGGAGAAAGCTTGGGTTGATGTATATAATTGTAGCCAAAGTTAGTCACTTTTGAGAATTGCAATTATAAATGAGATGGCTGTTGCAGTAAGCATATGATTAAAAACTTGCTAAAATAGTAGCAGGACAGCTACCATAGAAAATGCATGCTGCAAAATTAGCCTATCCATTTTCACAATATATAATCACGCATAAGAGAAGGTTTCTTGTAGGAATGTGGAATGACTCAGTCTTAAATTATATGATGGCTGAAACCATTTAGAACTGTTCAGAATCTAAAACACACACACAAAAACAAAGTCTGAAAAACCATAATGTTGTGGAACTCTAAAAAGTGGTAGCATCCTTGAGAGATACTGATATTTTTTACACAAACTGAGAATACTTATATACAAAAGTATTACTCTGAGTAGCAGGAAGTCAGAAAAGATATTCTCAGCTTTTGAATTTCAACTTGAGAATTCCAGTACAAGCAAATCATGGGAAAATATCTCAAAGGCCACGGCTTGTGTACTTGCTTTGCTTTAAAAAGCCTGCGCTATGTTTTCCTTACTTTGATGGTTAACTAAATATGAAGAGATTTATCACTGGTTATTTTAAAAGCACTTCAGTTTTTGAGATTTGCAGAACCATTTGCTTTCACAGGAACAGTATCATATTACTCAGTACCAAAAAATGAAAAAGATACRAGGCAATAGCTGTTATTGTCAAATAAAAAATAGAAGAAAGAAAAAGACTGCAAATTTCCTTCTGAAGTAAAAGAGATTAAGAAGTCTATGTAGTATAGCCACATTCATAAAGAGAAAGCACTGGAGTTTGTGATGTTAGTGCCCTTGAGAGGCTGACCATTTCTATAACATTATAGAAATTCATGATTTTTTTTTTTAATGAGAACTGAGATGTGCCGGACACAAACATTGACTATGTAAAAGAACACGTGTGAATAGATATTTTAGCCATTTCTATTTAGAAAATAACTAAAAATATTGTTTGTTATAAAAAAGCACCTGATCTACCAAGACAAATAATGAACTTATCAGAGATTGAGTCTTACTTAAAGAATGCAGTAACTTCAAAGAGGAAGTTATCACACTTATCTCACCCACCAGCTACTTCAGTCCTCCATTTAGTCATGATTCCCAGAAAAAATATAAATTCTCCTCTCTCAGGGAAATAGCCAAACTCTCTCTGAATACTTTCTGTTGATCTCAACAGGTATTGACTCGCCCATGACTTGGACAGGTACTGACAAGGCCCCAGGGGAGTTATGTTAAGTACTTGCAGCCCAGGCCTGGGTGGGCCCTGGTCACCACTGACTACCACCAGGATAAGTCTGGTAACAGTCAGAAACATTTCGTTTAGAGCAGAGAAAAAGACAGTAATAAAAATACCAAAAATATCCAAAAGAAGGGGGAAAAAAAAAAAAAAAAAAAAGAATGTGCTTAATCAAGGAATTTAAACAGGAGAACAGCTGCCCTCAAGCAAAAATTTGACTCACCACTACAAAAGAAGGAAGTCCTGAGCTAAACAGCACACACATCTTTAAAAACTAATGAATGTTTTATTTAAAAAATGCCAATCAGGCCGAGTACTAACATTTATTAATGAATGAAATCCCTCTGCTCCTTACAGTAGATAAATTACTATTAGCAAAAAAAAATTTGTTATGACTAACTGATCTAATTTTTTTTCCTGTTCAAATACTACAAACATGTCAAAATTTATTCTTTTAAACTTACCTACTGAGTAATTTCCTTTTAAAAAAATCTTGATTTGCAGCTCATTTACAGGTCCATACAGGTCCATATTATACTTTGACTTTCAGACCTAAGGCAATATTGAAAGGAACACATATAGTTCATGTGATGCCTGTCTTCCATGTTTTATTCCCTCCACTACATAACTGTCTATGTTCTGGTTTTACATACCGATACGAAATTCACCTATCCTACTAATTGAACGCACCTTTAGAAGAATATAATACTTTAAAACTATTTCTCATATCTAGAAAAGAATATCTTAGTATCCATTTTGAAATGAATGGGACTTAAGCATCTGCTTAAGTACTTTAAGTATCTTAAGCATCTGCTTAAGTACTTTATTGCATCCAGGGAATGTATTTTTTGTATGAAAGCTCACAAAATGAAATTAAAATTCACTTTCCACACACATTCTGTAAGAGTCATATTAAGGTCTGGCTATTTTTTATATATGTTCTTGCCAGAAAACTCTGTTGCTATAATATTTATGCAAAAAGAAAATAAAAATAATGTGATTGAAAATATGATTTTTTAAAAATGTATTAGTATACTTGGAATTTTTATAGTATATATCATGCTGTATAATTCACTGACCAATACATAATGACTCTTTATTTCTTAGGTAAATAACTCAATTTTTACTACTGGATTGCAGAAAAACATTAGTTCCATACATGGCAATACAAATTGTTACTGGCATTTCTTTTTTAATTTTTAAAATAAAGCACCAYCTCATTTGCTTCTTGAGAACAAGAGAAAACAAGACAATAAATATTTCACATTAAAAATGAATACAATGCTTGCCAACTGTTTCGTGCTCAAATTAACTMAGATAATTTCTGTGATACTGCAGTCCTCATTTTTGCAGGAATATTTTATTTGTGGTCTTTCATGGCTGTGTGGTCTTTCATGGCTGTAGGAAATATGAAACAAAGCCATAAAATAAATAAAAAAAAATCTTCTGAGGAAATTAAACCACTAACACATTATACTTTCCTACAAAAGAGAACAGTGAAGCAGTGCATCTTGAATGGATCTGCACTCTGAAACATGAATATTAGCAAAGAAATATATTCTGTTCTTTCCTATTCATATATGTAGTCCCAAAGAATACTCCATTAGAGTTTACTGATATGAATTCTTGTAAAAGACACTAACCAATTAGTTTGAGGAAACCAAAAAATCCAATTGCTCTTATCTCAAATGTTGTAATGAGGAAAGCAACCTGCACATTAAAAACAACCTTGCAATACCTTTAACCCGAATCCAAACTTTAGAGATTCATATAGTTAAAAACAAAATATTTTTCTCTTAATTTTAAGMTGTGTATAAACAACAAGGGGAACCAGAAATACTATGGAAGARCTTTCTGTCTTAGCATTATTAGACTGTGAAGAAATAAGAACAGCTTATAGTATTTGGTGGCTGTGGTTGGTCACAGTCACTAGACGTGTCTTGACTTTATGACATTTAGATGCCAAGCAATTTGTTTGCTAGAGTGTCTGAGAAGTTGATCCCTTATAGCATATGCCTGTATTTTTTGCTGCTTCCTGCCCAAGAACTAAAAGGTTTCTCGATTTGAAGAAAGATTGTTAAGGTGATCTCTGCACACATCTGAAAATCCAATCAGGGCACAAATACAATGTGTGCCTGTGTATATATTTACATTCGTATGTGTGCTGATCCAAGTCGATTCAAAAGCCAAAGAAGAAAACTTTCCTTTATTCAGATGACTCCTTTAAGGGTCCTTCCATTCTCCCTCCCTCGTGTGCTTTTCTGTATTTAACATTAACTACTTCCAAGTTATTAGCTACCATTCCTGTCCAGAATAAGCTCCTAATGCCTCATGGCTGGCACTAGACCCTGTGTAAAAGCTGCAATGAAWTCCCTAACATTAGTGCCTTTAATTGCTCCAAAACTCCAGTCTGGAGGGGATAACCCAAGGACAACACTGTATGGTCAGACATCGTACTTGAGCATAAGCCATCAGAAGCAATATCCTAGTGGCTGTCAGTTTATTTAAAATTAGGAGACCGCAACTAAAATTAGGAACTTTTGCTCACAAACGTTAGACGCCAAACTCATTTCCAGACTGTCTGTCATTAAAGGTTCTATAAGTGGAGAGAGTTCCAGCGACAGCTGGGCACATGATGTACTCCCCAAGTACAATAGGAGAATAATGGTCACGTTTACGTGCTTGAGGCTTTTCTAGGCTAACTGCAATGCTTTCCTGGAAGCTGGAGAAGCCAAAGAGCTTATTTTTCCCTTATTTTTTTTCCCTTCCCAGTTTCCAGTCTACTCCACAGATGGTGTGAACATGCCGGAAATTTTAGAAGCTAATGAAACAGTACTCAGTTGAATATTTAAGGGACTTTTCTCTCTCATATCCTATTTAATTGAATTGTGTAAGGCTTTAAGAAGAATTCTTTAACAAGGATTATTTGACTTACTTCATTTTACATTCACAATGATTCCCAGCATGGATAGCATCTACTATCTTCATTACTCAGGGCTTCTTAATAACCATAGTTACTGCTTGCCATGAAACTCAATCCATGCCCTGCAAACTTGGCTTCGATTACAGTGCAATTAAGTGTATTTCAGGCATCATGACACTGCTTTCAGACTGAATTGTTATATCAATCAACACACTGTATGACCAGTCAATGATGCAAATCCACGATGAAGGGATATTAGTGGCATAAATGGGAGGAGGATGGAGGTTGGAACAGCGCTACATTAATTGGGATGGAGGAGAACAGAAATAATTGATGATTTTATAGCAAATTCAAGGAAGATCTCAAAATGAGATTAAAATGAGCAAAAACTGGAAGTCAACATGTCAACATTTCTAAAGAAGGAACATTATTGTTTTAAAGAAGGAACATTATTGTTTTGGTTTTAAAACTTCGTTTGAATAAAGGACATACGAGAAGGGGAATTCAGCTTTCAAAATAAAGCAGAATTCTTTATTTTAGACCAACACAAGAATTTCTGTGACCTTCATCTTCACCAAGAAAATGAAGAAGCAGTTTTCAGTTGTCCCAAACATATTTTTTTGGTTTTGCTTTTTCATTCAGACAAATAATCATACAGAAAATAATCATTTTTTCACACAGCTCTGCATAGAAGATTCCCCACTGCTGTTTGTAAATCTTTCAAAAGCTTCRTTCTTACCCACCTTTGTAAAACAATTTGGGATTCTCAGCTCAAAGACATTGCATAATTGCAAAGCTTTACTCTATTTATACAGCTACCCTCAGGATATAAAACAACAGAAATTTTTGTGGCCTATGATTTCATTCTGTACAGCGGTCTGCTTGACTATTTCTGTTTTTTGTTTACAGCTCTCTCTTTAAGAGAAGAGAACAGCTAAAGATTTTGTTATCGAGGGATCTTCCTCAGTTTGAGAYGGCCATTTTCCTTTTAAAGCCTCATAAGTGCTTGTATATTGATGCTTCTGAACAGGCACCATAAATATTCAACATTTTTTCCTTACAGAACAACTGCATTGATGATCTGTTTTTAAGACTTCATAATCACATTCCATCCCTGCTGTGAGGGTTTGAATCAGTCCTTCAGCACAGACCTGGTTAGTTTACAGATCTGGGGGTGGAAAGTAGAGGACTCAATGAGAGGAGTTTATCCAGCAGTTTAATAGCCAACGGCATAGGAACTGCATTATTCCACCAAGCAAGGAAAGGAAAATTGCATGACATATTGCAAGCTATTTTTCAAGGAAGACAGGCACTTATGATTCAAATTCCAAAGATTACCTTGCCTTTGTCCCTTCAAACAGAATGTTTGCAAAAAAACAGACATTCTAATTCCGTTTACCAAATTTAAAAGCTTAAGACTGTTTCTGTGTTTTAAGTAAAGAAGTCTTACTGGTTTCTCCAAGATCTACAATTATCTTCATGCAATTCTTTCATAAACTCTTTTTTTTTTTTTTTTTTTTCTAAAGAAATAGAAATTTTCTACACCAAAAATTAATTATTGTACGTTTTCAAAATTTGCTGTGAATGGCCTGGACAGGAAAGGCCTGATGAGGGAGACTGAATATATGAGGTAGGATCAGTGAAAGGTTCATACTGAAGAATAAGTTATAGTCACTACGCAATGTTCTTACATAGACATTACCAACTACAGAGTGGTTTTAGCATCAAGTGAATCTTGTAGACCTCTTAGTCCTCCAGTCCAGCCTTCCTCAGTTTTCCCGTGCCTTTTTCCTAAATACTCCTTTATTATGTGGAACCAAAAGAAGGTAATGTCATCCATTTTCTATGTTTCAAAAGTTCCTCTAGCCTTTTGAAGACCCTATCTGATAGGGTAATTACCTGTCTGGGTTTGGAGAGAGAACATTAAGTCACTCTTAATTTCTTCCCTGTCTGGTGGGGATAGTTTCCTTTACTTTTTTTTTTTTTGGGGGGGGGCACTATTTGGAATAAAGCATTATCCTTCAAACATCATGATGCTGACTAGTGTTTGGATCAAGTATTTATTAAATGTACTCAGCCGCTTGTTAACTAATTTTTCTAAGATTTTGTCATGACCTTTTTCTTTCAGATACAAGAAGAGGGTTCAGATAGCTTTTAAATCAGGTTGCACAAACAGTGCTTTTCTCTCTATATTACAACCAGTGTGGCAATTGCCAAAAATTATATCTACTTTCCTTCAAGTAGTGCTATTGTACTTCCCTGTACATGAGAGCTCATGAGCTCAAATTCTCATCATCCTTTCTCTGTCTACTCAGCCCCATAAGGACAAATAATCAAGCAATAATGTAATCTTCATTGTAGGATCTCTCAAAACCATTAAAGTGGTCCTTATGCCTACTTAATTATTTCAGCAAGCAGCCTGATAAAAACAGCATTCGGAGGCAAAATCCTCACAATTTAAAACCAGTAGTGGAAATGTGCAGCAGACACCAGACTCCTGTAGCAAACATTTCAGAGAAAGAAGAGATTACTAAAACCAAACTTGTTCACAAATACATTTGTGTGTATCTAAGACTCTGGGAGGAAGGAATTCCAGAATCGCCCGGGAAGGGAGCGGCACTCCTTAAACCTGTAGCTACTTAAGTGAGATTTAACATTACCCCTGACCTTGAATTGCCTTCTCCCCCAGCATTTCAGCAAGGATAGGCTCAAAACTGAAATTTTGCTTTTAATTCTGTAAGATACATGAATGTCYTATATTCCATAGGAACGACCGAGCTCTTCTTGGCCTTTATGGCCAGTACTCGTGGGCTTCACCCACATGGGAAACAAGCATTTGCTTTGGTTCAAATATATGCACTCAAACGAGCTGATGTGTTTGTAAAAATGTAATGCTATGTGTTTTTGGGGTTTTTTTTAAATTTTTACTTAATTTCGTTTTAAGGAAGTTCCTGCCTGTCTAAAATAATTTCTTTTTCTAAAATTAGTGATTGAATATTGTTCTTGTGAAGTATAGACCATCTGTAGCAGCTTCAGAAGAGGTCTGGTGTTGGTTAAATACACAAAATGGAAGCATTTCTTTATGGATATTAGGGAGAGAGAGGTTTGTTTCTATTCCATGATAGATGAGCACACTGCTTAATGTAAATCCTTAAGTGTGAATGCTTGCCCATAAAACTCACAGTTAATTCTCCACAAGTGTTCTGTACTGTTTGYTTGAGAAAACACTAGTCCAAAGCAATATTTTAACAGCAATTGAATCCAACAAAGATTGTGCAAAAGCTGTTACAAAAGCAATATAAATAACGTCAAAACAAAACATTAATATGACAACAGTTCACAGTAGGTTCCTGGTATTTGCCTGTCTCCACTGACTTACAACCTGCCTATTCCAAACAGTACTTAAGCTCCCTTAAATACTTTTTAAAACTACGTGAGGTGTTTGTGAAAGTGATTTAAGCCAATGAGTTTATTTTTTAGCACACCAGTGCACATTTGGAGGCCAAGTAGGACTTGCAGAGCCTGCAGCTCCAAACCCCACATGTCATGGCACCAGTTTATATCAGTGTGCTCCTGCCGACACAAAGGTGCATCCCAACAAATTAGAAAAATGCAGTGATTGCACCCCTATGTCTGAGGCTTCACTCAGTGCAGATTTAGAGCTGTGTCTTTTCAAACAAAAGTGAAGGCCTGTCATCAAACACTCCACGCAGGGCCTAGAGGGTGCCTCAAGCCTCCTGCTTCCTCCCTGCCCCAGCAAGGACCCAAGTCCCCATTTTGGCTCCAAAGCCATGATGTTTGTTGTGAATTAGGGAAATATGGGGTGGGGTTTTTGTTATTGTTTTATTTTTCCTTTCTGCTTGAGCTAGTTACTACTGAGGGGTTGGTTTCTTTGTTTATTCACCTCCTCAGCTGGCTCATGGTGCCCTTGCAGCAGGGCCACATCTACAAGGCAAGCTGTAGCCCAGGCCCTGAAATACAAGACGCATCCCTGTCCTCATCCCCATCCCTGTCCCTGGGGAAGCACTGMGGCAGTCAAGAGGAACCAGCACTAGCCTAAACCAACACTTAGATATTAGGAAAAATTTCTACATGGAAAGAGTAGTCTAGCATTGGAACAGGCTGCCCAGGGAAGTGGTGGAGTGAGCGTCCCTAGCAGTGTTCAAGAAAYATGTAGATGAGGCCCTTAGGGATGTGGTTTAACAGGCATGATTGTGAAAGGCTTACAGTTAGACTCAATGATCTTGAAAGTCTTTTCCAACCATTATGATTCTATAATTCTATGATTTTATGATTCTGCCTTGCACTTCAGTCCTGCATGCCACTGAGCAGCACTGCTTGAGAGCAGAAAATGAGGGCTCCCTGCACCCTCTCCTGCTTGTTTTTGACCACTGTTAGCTGAATATTTTTCCTTGTGCATGCAAGAGAGGCACTTACTGCTCTTTTATCTTGTTTCTMCTGGGGACCAGTGTGTTCGGATTACTCCTTGCCCCACTGGGCAGGCAGCAGCATTTGTAGATCCTCGCTGAAAAAAAATAACAAAAATAAAAACAAGTAAAAAAATAGACTGAATGTAGCAAAAGATAAAAGCTCTGCTGTTAAAATGATGGCACTTCCCAGGAAAATAGAAGTTAGATCATAGCAGCAATGTAATGATGTTTCAGAGTCCATCTGAAGAATGCAGAGTGTGACAACAYGATAAGGGAATGAGAAAAACGGGGATTTTTGTTATAGCTTGCAGCATGCTCTCCAGGTCCTAACTTAGCTGCYGGAAATGTTTGCAAATTGCACCGCCTTTAAATGCTGCTATTTAAATCAATAACTTTAAAATTGCCGGCTTCCACAGAAAATGAATGACGAGAGAGCAGCTACAGCAAGTGAGTGTATTTTTATACCTTAAAAAGAGGTGTCAGCCTGCCTGAAGATTTGCCACCTGAAATGCTAAACACAATGCTAACAACGTTCAAAAAATAAAACACACAAAAAAAAGAATCTCTAAAAAGAGCACTTTCTTTTTGTACTGTCATCCATGCTAAATATTGCCAAGAGGTAACGCTATAAAGAAAATTCCTGACTTGTGTGATAATCACTACATTTATGTTTACAGAGAGATTTTCGTACACATTATCAACCCTATTTAGGAAGCTTTTTTGGTCTAAATTTGACAATATTTTCAAAAAACAGGTTTTAATTGTGAGGAGATTGTATTGCATATATATACTGATATGTGTGTATACCCATACACATATACACACACAGATTTATATAGAGATAAATACTCTGAATAAGTATTTGAATTAAAYAAAATGACATTTAATTTCAAAATGACATTTAATTTCTAAAACCTGCTGTATGTACACAGAGGTAATAATCTGTGTGTCTTTCATCTGTTTAGAAACATTAAAACATTAGAAACATTAAAACATTCACCATCAGTATGGTGAAAACTGCGCCACGGCAGAGCTTCACTGAGCACATTTTTTTTTCTTTTTTTCATTTCTGTCAACTCTAATACAAGGCTGTGAGTCTTTTTCATCCCATAAAAATGCCCAAGACTTCCTTCAGTGGTAATTCATTGTAGAAAAATAATTTTTGGCTTCCAACAATTAGCTATTGCGACATGATAATATTGCAAAATGTTTTTCTAAATATTATTTTTAAAATATATTAATCATTTCTACAGTTCTTGTAGCTCCATTGAGAGAAAAATATTGCACATAAAATATAGAAATATTTGGTGCATTTTGTGCAGACTTCTAAAAAGCATTGCCTCTTTTAGAATATATAGGACTCATTTCCACACATGGTCATCTTTGAAGTAGAAACAATTGTGAGCACTCATTTCCACACATGGTCATCTTTGAAGTAGAAACAATTGTGAGCACTCATTTCCACACATGGTCATCTTTGAAGTAGAAACAATTGTGAGGACATTTTTTCCATATTTTGACTCTCATCATTGAAGTTCGTCGTATCATAGAAAGGGACTATAGAACTGAGTAATGAAAAGAGAGATCTTTCTTGTTCATTTCTATGGAGCCACTCAGAGTGGCTCTTAAAATATGCATGATTCCCACACAAAAAGCAAACTTTAAGTGAGGCCATTTTGTGATTGCTTAATCACGTGAATTAGACAAATGCTTAGCTTGTATTAATTCTTCAAGCAGGTTGCCATTATAATTAAATCAGCACCCTTCATTTTTTAGGATTTCAGGCCTCCTAGGAGATTACCATTTGAAAACTACTGTTTTCAAAGGCCAATTAAAACATCATTATCTCTGCATTTCACCACAAAGAACAAAGATAATACCACAGCTAATGTAAAACTGCTTCTTAGAATCTCAGTAGATTCTTTAAAAGCAAAGACTCAATGYCTGAACATGTCTTCTCAAAAGCACTTCTGCCTTCTGGCAAAAAAATTTATATGTGTAGCAATAATGAAGGGATTGAATAGGTGAAACATGGGGTAGCAGGTGACTTTTCAAATACTTTCTTCATTAAATTTGCCCTAGAGTCACATATGACAGTTTTATGAACAGATCTTGGTTTTTTTCATCCAAAAATAAAATTATACAGCAGATTTCCCACAAGGGCTTTTAAAAAGATAAGTTAAAAAAGGAGAGAGGGAAGGGAAGGGAAGGGAAGGGAAGGGAAGGGAAGGGAAGGGAAGGGAAGGGAAGGGAAGGGAAGG